AGCTGATAAAACTAATTATATAGGAATAAAATATAAAATAAATAATCATGAAAAATTACCAGAGCTGATAAAACAAATTAAATAAAAATGATATATGAATAAATAAATGAATGAATAAATAAATAGCTGTAGTGACCACAGCTGATAAAACAAATTATTAAATAGAAATGAATATTAATAAATAAATAAAGCATGAAAATGGTGACCACAACTGATAAAACAATTAAATAAAAATTGTAGTCTGATAACTGATCAAATAAATGATTTAAATAAAAAATTGGAATATAAACAAATAAATATGAATGAATTAATTAATATTATAATGAATAAATGAATGAATATTAATCTAAAAATCTAAATCTAAACCTCAATCCTTCTTTTCTTCATTCTTTTCTTTGGGTTCCAGAGTTGGCTGGATTTTGGCTGATCTCGTTCCTCTTCTTCATCACTGACGAAGTCACCATCATCCTTCCTCTGGAGCGGGCCATTCACTCTCTCTATCTGGGCTTCCTGCTGGGCGAGCTGCCGGCCTCATTTCTGGCCCTGCATGTCATGACTCGCAAACTCGCCCAGCAGTTTCACATGAGGCAGTTCGGCCCCGTTCAGGGTCTCCATACAGCATGAAGCGCTGCCTCTGTTTGGACTGTCGTATGGGGGCAGGAGTGTGCTGCCTGTGAGGGACATTCAGCCGCACTGACAGATGAGGCTCTGTGGAGGTTTTTAATGTCACCTGCTAGTTAAAGATCTGGTCTTCCACCAATGTGACCTTTAGCAGTAAGTGCACTTTTTGTAATACAAGTATGTTATGTGGTAAATCTACCCATGTAAAACCAGGGGGTGGGGCTAGTTTTCACACAGGAAGTGTGTACTTTGGCTCTGTAACAACTGAATGAGGTTTAAAGTTTAAACACAAAATTCAGAAAGTGCAATTACACAATGCACATTTTCTCTAAAACTGAAATCAACAACATAATGAAGGCTGATTTTAACTTGAAGAAGTGAGGACCATGTTTCAAATTTTTCTAAAGTAGGCCGTTTAATGAAAGGATGCCATTGTGGAAACTTAGCCCATATAGTATGGCAGCATGCCCAGTTATTTACAATACACTGAAAATGTTACATTTTCAATATGAAACAATGAATATTGTTTTTGTAGTTACAACTTATACTTTTTTATACAGACGTGGCCTTTCAAAAATAAACCCTCACTGAGAAATTCACTGGAATAAATTACACTGAAATAAAGTATGTGTATGATTAGGAATGATACTACAATTACCAATGATAAAGCAAACAAGCAAAACATATGCATTACAAAAGTTTGGGGTCAATGAGTGTTTGTTTGTTTTGTTTTGTTTCTTTTGAAAGAAGTTAATTTTATTCAGCAAGGATGAATTCAAATCGATCAAAGGTGAAAGTAAATACATTTACAATCTTACATAAGATTTCTATTTCAAGTATGCTGTTCTTTTGGACTTTCTATTCGTTACAGAATACAGAAAAATGCTTCACGGTTTCCACGACACTGATAATAATATATATATATATTTTTTTTTTTAAATCTTAATAATAGTTTACAACATTACTGCATTTACTGTGTTTTCATTAAAAAAAAGTACAGCCTTGATAATTAAAAGACTTCTTTTAAAAGCA